CCCTCGGAACACAGTGAATGAAAAAGAACCAATTAAGCTACATGTATTCTGTGTTGCCTCAGGAAAGGCTTATGGCACAGTAGCTTACCTGGTCTTAAAAGGGCAAGCCAATTTGCTCACATCAAAGGCCAGAGTGGGAACTTAAAAGAAAAAATCATTGCCACAACTGGAATTAACAGCCTTACTGCTAGGTGTAAGATGGGCTCATTATCTGATCAAAGCCTTAAGCAACATCCACTTTGAAGAAACAGTGGTATGGTCAGATAATTAGGCAGTGCTACAGTGGGTTAAAAACAATAATAGTAAAAATCCTTGCGTGAGTAACCGCGTTAAGGAAATACGAGAGTTGTCGGCAGGATATAAACTGAGATATGTACCCACCAAAGAGAATCCAGCAGACTATCTCTCCCGAGGCCTGACTTTACGACAATTAACAAAAGCAGAGATGTTGTTCAATGGTCCTCAGTGGCTAATCAGCTACCAGTGCCTTAAACAAAAGCCACAAGTCATTGTGACCAATTTCACTGTTCCCACTGAGAACCCAGAACTACCTCAGACTTTGGTAATTGATCCTAATCGGTACTCTGAACTGAACAAACTAATAGATGTCACCCAAGTAGTGTTTGATTTTCTAAAGAAAATAGGAATCAAGCATAAATTTCCTAGTGCCCTAAGGTACTGGGTCAAAAGAGCTCAGACAGACACATTCGGGACAGAATTTGATGATGTTCCTAAGAAGCTACAAAAGGATCTGGGTCTCTGGTTAGACACCAACAATTGTAACATAATCAGATGCGGAGGACGCTTACAGCATGCTGACATAGATCTGGAAGCAAAAAATCCAATATTGCTTCCTCGTCACCACATAGTAAGCAAACTAATTGTGTTACAAATACACAAATACAACAATCTGCATGGTGGGGTATTAGATACTCTCACAGACTTCAGACAACAGTACTGGCTACCCCAAGGTAGGCAGACTGTAAAATCAATAATTAAATCCTGTGTTATTTGCCAGAGATACAATGCCAGAGTGTGTCCATAGCCAGGCCCTCCTCCACTTACAAAGGAACGAGTTGTACATATTCGTCCCATTGAGACTACAGGAGTAGATTTCACAGGAGCACTAACATTAACAGGCACCAAGGACAAAAAACCAGTAACGGCCTATATCTGTCTTTTTACTTGTGCCACAACAAGGGCAGTCCATCTAGCAGTGACTCCCAATATAAGTGCCGAGGTATTCTTACAGGCTTTCCACAGGTTTGCTTCATGTAGATCCTGTCCTAAGTTAATGATCTCAGACAATGGGTCCAACTTAGTGGCAGGAGAAGCATGTCTGAGGAAAATCTGGACACACCCAAAGGTACGCACGGCCCTAAATCAACGGCAGTGCCACTGGAAATTGATACCTCCCAAGGCACGGAGGCTTCTATGAACGCATGATTTGGTACGGTGAAAAATTCTCTACAGATATCCCTACACCGCCAAAAGATTGACTTACAGGAGCTCCAAACCATAGCCATAGAGATAGAAGTATTCGTTGCCTTGTAGGATACAATTTATAATTACCCAGTTCATGTTCTTACAGATCACCAACCATTAATTCCCTTGTTCAAAAATAAGAATCCAGTTGGAAAGTTTGCTAGATATTTGCTCACAATTCAAGAATTCGATCCCACCGCTGCCACCAGTATTCGTTGCCTTGTGGGGTTGAATATTAAACACAGTAGGCGCTTCTGTAGATTTATTGAGTGAGGCAACAACGTGTATAACTGGCCAGTCGAGGTCCACCTACTCTGGGTCTGTGAGGGAACAGAGCCTTCTGGGAGCACGGCTGGTGTTTGTCTGTCTGGCATGACGTCAGAGGCCTACTCGCCTGTGATTGGTTATGTTCCAACTTGTCATAGAATTTGAGTATAACACCAGCACGAGTTAATAACCGACCACTTACCTACCTCTCTGATGATGTTTTGCAGCGTGAACCACTAAGTCCAGCTCATCTGATGTATGGGAGACCTTTCAGTACCCTTGTGTCCCTCACAGACAAGGAACCAGAGGATCCTTCCTATGTCCGAGAGAGTAATTTGGTTCAACGTTTCAAACATCTATCAGGGGTGATAAGTTGATGGAATGACGTATAGACTCGAGAATACCTTACTGCTCTGAGGGAGTATCATTACGGGGCAAACAACCCCCTACAACAGAATTAACTTGAACCCTGGTGGACAGCGATGGGCCACGCTCAGAGTGACCTATAGGCCAAATAGTCTCTGTTCATCCAGACAGCCAGGGCATCTTGAGAATAGTGAAAGTAAAAAGCTGAGGCAACACTACTCTCAAAACATTAGAGAAATTAGTTCCTTTAGAACTGGCAGGAAAAGAAGACGTTCAACGACGTCCAGCACCCGAAACACCAGTACGGGACATCCGTCCCCTAAGAACTGCAGCACAAAAATGTAAACTAAAATTAAAGCAGCACTATAATTCTGAAGGAGAGGAATAAAGTGATTGCAGTCCTTACCGGGACTTCGACCCGTGTTCCTTCCCCCCGGAATTATGTCGGAATCTGACACACATAATAACATGAGTTATCCCCCTTAAAGAAAAGAGAATGGGTGATTCTGTGATGTCATCGATGCCACATATTTATTATTACTCTGATTTCTTTTAAACAATAGTGTAGTCTTTATACTTAATAAAAAAGTGTTCACTAAGACTGAATATAATTTCCATCACTAGGAATATAGCTTAACACTCTATTCCTTAAACATAAATAGAACCTCCAAACATTTGAGTTCGTCTCCCTCGGGAGTTTCCTCACGTAGACAGAATAACAACAAACAACATACTGTAGAGTGCTCTCTCCATATGAGCTGGTTTTACTCGTTAGACACCCAGACTACGTGTCAACAAGCGAGCAACCAGCACAACAGCCTCTCAACAACCACAACAACACCAGTATCCGTCTTACCAAGCATTTATAGTTTATTTTGGCCATTTTATTCATAAATAGGTAGGCGGTTATACTGTGGGATTAAACCCACTAACACATACGTACTCAGCTCTACACACACATATTACATGTCATACCTGTATACATATGTTTAGGGAACCTTTATTAATTCCTTACATCCCAAACAGGTAATTGTGAGGGAAGTTAGTAAAGCAGGAAGCTGGCTCCCAACATATTTATAGAAATTGCTACCACTAGCAGTACATCAAGCCTTGCAGGCCTCCAGACAGCCGCCATTACGTGGCACTCAGAGGCACAGAGGGCCACACCCAATTTTGATGCTACAATACACAGCCTTAGCAGGCCCCCATCAACAGGAACAGCTAGGGCCCCTTTTTTGTTCAATACTGTAGACATAGTATTAGTAGTTATAAATTTCATAACTGTGGTATAATAGTAGATTAGACCACCATATGTGGTATGAATTATAATTTATATATCAAAGACTAGGTAAACAATTTGTGGTTTTTCAAGGAGCCATCTCAAAGTGGTTTAAGCTACAAATTGTCCCTCCACATATGTGAGATAAATTCAAGCAGCTGAATCAGTACATACAGTCTACTTACTTACTTAATTACTTACTACTATCTAATTAACTAACTTATTACTAAGAACTAAGAGAAATAATCAAATAAAATATCATATTAAAGTCAATTTAAAAATAAATATTTGAGTATTTACAGAATTAAAAGGAATTAAAGCTGCTAGGGTTATCCCACATCAGCCACTAATAGGTAAGCACTAGTAGGTATGGTACAAATAATTAAGCTCTAGTAGGATAGGCACTAATAGGTAAGCACTAGTAGGCAAGGCACTAATTGGTAAGCACTTGTAGGTAAGGCACTAATAGGTAAGCACTAGTAGGTAAGACACTAATAGGTAAGTAATAGTAGGTATGGCACTAATAGGTAAGTAATAGTAGGTATGGCACTAATAGGTAAGTAATTGTAGGTGTGGCACTAATAGGTAAGCACTCGTAGGTTAGGCGCTAATAGGTTAATCCCACCCCCTACTCACTACTTCTATCATATTACCACACCGCCACTTAATCATTAATAGGTAAGGCACTAATTGGTAAAAAAGTAATAGGTAAAGCTGTAATTGGTACGATGGTAATAGCAAAGGCAATATCAGGCAATCTTGTAATAGGTAAGGCACTATTAGTTAAGGCCCTAACGTGTAAGGAATTAGTAGGTAAGGTAATTATTGTTAAATTACTAATTGGTAAGGCACAAATAGGTAACGCAGCAATAGGCAAGGCTCTAATAGGTGGGGCAGTAATTGGTAAGGCAGTAATAGGTAAGGTGCTAATAAGCAAGGCACTAATAGGCAAGGCAGTAATAGGCATGTCACTAATAGCAAGGCCATTAGTCACTAATAGGTAAGGAATAACATGTAATGCGGTAATAGGTAAGGCAATAATAGTTAATACAATAGTAGGTATAACAGTAATAGATAAGCCAGTAATAGGTAAGAAATAACGTGTAGGCAGTAATAGATAAAGAGCTAATAGGGAAGGCAGTACTAGTTAACACAGTAGTAGGTATGGCAGTAATAGGCAAGGCAGTAATAGGTAAGGTGCTAATAGGGAAGGTATTAATAGGCAAGGCAGTAATAGGTAAGGTGCTAATAGGGAAGGTATTAATAGGCAAGGCAGTAATAGGCATGTCAGTAATAGCATGACAGTAAGAGGTAAGGAATAACATGTAATGCGGTAATAGGTAAGGCATTAATAGTTTACACAGTAGAAGGTAAGGCAGTAATAGGTAAGGCGTTAATAGACAAGGCAGTAATAGGCAAGGCAATGATAGGTAAGGCAGTAATAGGTAAGGAAGTAATAGGCAAGGCAGTAATAGGCAAGGCAATAATAGGTAAGGCAGTAATAGGCAAGGCAGTAATAGGCAAGGCAATAATAGGTAAGGCAGTAATAGGCAAGGCAGTAATAGGGATGCACCACGCCCAGCTCACCAGCACATTATCTTACCAACAATCACTGGTGACAAGCTGGGAAGTTCTGGGGTCGTATCATCATTTGTATCTGCCGGAGATACTCCCTGTCTCTGTCACCTGGCGTCCAGTATTTTGTGCTCATGTCACTATGGAGACTCGTGGCATCAACATCAGTGCACCCATTGTACCACCACCCGGCTTGGTTTATCTTGTACAGAGCACAGGACCCTGTGGGTGGAGACACCACACATATGGATTACAGAGTTTAGTGACATGTACACATGTTTACACACCTGCACGCACACGCAAACGCACGCACACACATGCACACACACACGCACACACCACTGAGCGGAAAACACTCGGGGATCGTAGTCCTAAGGGGCCCCTAGTTCGTTTCCCAGCCGAGGCAGAAACAAATGGACAAACCTTCGCTTACACTACACTACATTACACACAGAAATTACAACAGCGTGGTGAATCAAGCGAGCAAATCCACAAGGGCCGTGATGAGGGTTCGACCCCACATCCGAAAGGATCCCAGACGCGCCTTGCGGGGGAGGGGGGGGGGGGGGGGGGTTAGAAATAGCCTAAGCAACTTTATCTCTTTGACATGTATTTCTTTCTTGTCTCAATAAACATACTTGAATTTGAACTTGACGCGCCATAATCGACTGTGCCACGACATGGTAAAATAATTGCAACCGGGAGTTCACCTGCCCTCACACGGATCTTGCAGTCTCTCCGAGACACAAACCTGGGTTTAAACAATTCCTCCATGCACCCGAGCTCTGTCAATAACCTGTTCTACCTCTTCGCCCTTACTTCATTACACACAGAAATCACAATAGCGTGATGCATCATAAGAACTAATCCACAAGGGCCGTAATGAGGGTTCGAACCTACGTCCGAGAGGATCCCAGAAGCACTTTAATCGACTATGCCATGACATGGTAAAAGAATTGCTTCCGACACGGTAAAAGAATTGCAACCGGGAGTTCAACTGCCCTTACACAGGCGATATGAGCCCCAGCGTGTCACGGAAGGGCGCGTCAATTCCGAAAAGCGTATACTCTCTTCAACTTTGTCACCTCAATTTTCGTTCTACGAGATTAAATTTGGTATCATTGTGTTCGCAATAAAATTCTCTACAGCACTAAATGCATATAAACTCCAAAAGCCCGGCTAATTACCCGCAACCAGCAGAGAAAGTGCGAACGAGTTACCCGGGAGCACGCAAACGCGATAAAATGTGTTCACTCTTTTCACTCTGGTCACCTCAATTTTCGTCCTAGGTCTTTCATTTTGGTCTCAATGGATTCGTAATAGAATTCTCTAGAGGAATATTAGCATATAAAATAAAAAACCTGGTTACGCTCCAACCGCCGACGAGTTGAAGACGGGCCACGCGTTAGCCATGAGTGAGTGCTCAGACGCCTTCCTGCTACAATCCCAATTCCTGCCCACATATGTTTAGTATTATTTCCTGGTGGTAATCTCAATTTTCGTGTTACAGCGCTCATTTAGGTATGAAAATGTTCCTAATAGAATTCTTCAGATGGATATGTGCATATAAGGGCCAATTGAAGAACAACATTGCCTGTACAATACGGGAAACCGGCAAATACCCATCAAGATCGTCAGTCCCATATATCTAGCAATTTCCTTCACTGTCACTGGTTGCCATCTGTGCTTTGTACTTTGCCCAGTACCTGCCTTATTTTGGGAAGCATATAAATTTGTTTCATAGGCAATATATTTCACCAATTTTTGTGTCAGAAAGAGTTGAATGAATCCAAGAACAGTGGTAGGTACAGGAACAGTCAAGCCTGGTGTACCTGTAAAATTGTCCACAAAGGGTGCAGTATTGTCACTACACCATCCATCATCAGAATCTGTTGGTGCTGGGGTACGTGTGGTACGTCTGGCTCTAGCACGAGCTCCAGTACCGCACCGTGCACGAGTGGCAATCTCGACCTCAGACTCCTCACTGTCCTCACTTTCATCACTATCAAAATCCTCATCGGCCGTCTCTGTTTCTAAATGTTCACTACTTGCATCAGTATCAATACCAACATCAGTTTCATCACTAGATGACCCAGACAAATCGTCAAATACAGCCTGAAACTTAGAGGGAGTTAGTCTCACATGCTTGTACTTCTCCTGTACACTACTCAGCTTCTGTTTTTCACGCCTTTCTTTCGCAATTTTCTTCCTGGAAGGGCCTTGTTCATGATCACTATCCATCGTGGAGTAAGCGTAGATAATTTCTGAAGCCGCAGTAAGAAATATAGCCACGGAAAATAGCCGAAATGTTCACACGTTTGAGACGCGAGGGGAGGCAACACCGGTCACAACAGTGGAGCGAAAACAATGGGCCGACGGCGATTGCTGCGCCGCCTGCGGGCCACTAGGCGCAACAAAGAAAATGGGAAGACATCGGCGCGCATTTTAAAACCAGTCCCAAAAAAATCTGATAAAAACCTGATTTTTGGCGAATTTTTAAAGTGGATGACGCACAGCTGCGTCATCCCCGGCATTACCGCCAGTAAACGGATGACGCAATGCTGCGTCATCCCCGAGCGAAAGTGTTAGCTAAATGAATTGTGGGGTTCAGTCCCTGAGCCCATTATGTGCCTCTGTAACCCTTTCCACTACCGCCCACAAGATGGGTATGGGGTGCATAATAAATGAACTAAACTAACTAACTCATATTGAACTGTTCCATCTCATGTTGGAATAGTGCTCAACGAGGTGGCGGATGACTTGGCCAAACGTGCCACATCAAAACCTGAAGTTGACATTGAATGTGAATTCACAATGAGACAAATAAGAAGCAAAATCAGAAATATTCAGGCACAGGCGGGAGTGGAGAGGAGAGAGATAATGTATGAGAGAAGTCAAACCATGCAACACTACATGTATGTGAGTCAAAACACCCATTTCACTTATGGTAAAAGGAGAAATGCTTGGAGTGACTCTGTGTACATGCGGCTCAGGCTTGGGTACAAATATTACCGGGAATATGGGATAGATGTTCATGATAACGACACGAAGTGTAAACTATGTGGTATGTTAAGGTCTCACACCCTGGTCCATTATGTTCTTGATTGTCCGTTGATTAATGTATATAGAAACACTGAGATAAGGACTGTTCCTGAACAAATAGCCTGGATGTGTCACAACGGAAAGGTTGATGATATTCTTGTGAGATATAAGAATTTTGCACCAAGACTGTAATATTTTGTTGAATTATCTGCAGGTGTCTTGCAAATTGTCTATACAGTATACCTAGGTCATAAAAGTATTTGTGTGTACGTCTGATAACATACTACTTGTGAAGGAGGAAATGTATATGTTTATCTCTCAGAATGTTTGGTAATATGTTTATTTGTGATGTGTGTCTATGTATGTTTTAACACGTTGTACTGAATGGGGTGAGAATAGCTTGAGCTACCTCATCCCTTTGTTTTTCATGCCCCAAACGCTTTGCGTAATAGTAGCTTTAGGCATTGTATGTACTAGCCCTATCTATGAACTCATTACTCTTTGTAAAATCTCTTGTATGCTTGTATGTATGTACCTTACCTAAATAAACATTTGATTTGATTTGAGTATTATAAACAACAGAGGTCCCAGGACAGAGCTTTGAGGTATTCAACCTACAACATTTTCCAACTCTGACTTAACCCCATTTATACTAACTCTGTTGAGCATTGACCATTTATACATCAACTCTGTTGATGTGAGCACTTAATTGGTGGTCAGTGGTGGAGCTTAATTCTTAAAAAGCAATATATTCTTTCAATCGTGATTTAGGTTAGTCTGCCGTTTAAAGAAAAAAAGAGCATATCGATGGTATATCACAGAAAACGAATTTATCATAAACTCATGTATTTGTCTTATTATATTGAACTGCATTCATATTTTTAATATATAACAATATGAATATCCAAATTTCTGTAAATCCCCTACCATGTTGGAATCTGTGGAAATGAATGAGCAAATGTGCTGGCTGAAGGCGCTGAAGGAAACCACATTGGTTTCATTTTGGATACAAATGTCCATGGAGATTCAGAATGGAAACTAATTATATAGTTGAACCTGCAGAGAGGAGTTTAAGAATCTGTGTTGAGAGTGATGGACACAGCCTTCACAATTATACTTCAGAGAATGTAAACATCTAAGAGTCATTAGAAATATGTGTAGAATAATAAACCCTACATTGTTTGAGTTAGGGAAAACACCATTTGTCATATAAATACTAGCTGTTCCTAAAGATTCACCCATTTTGCACCAGCAAGATAACATATAAGATTTTCTGGGTTGACGAATGTTAATCTTCTTGTTTGATAAACTGTGCACTTGAGACATAGTTAATAAGAACACGCCAATATATAAGACAACAAAAAGTTTTCAGATTCTTTCACACCTCTTTCCAGCAACTTTTATAATTTATATAAATTATTTTAGGGAATAATACATAAATTATATATTTAAACATGATATTAGTGTTTATTGGAATGCATAAGGAGTCAAATTGTGTAAAAAGAGCGATTTTTAGAAAATTTTGAAAACTATTTTTTTCTGATCATATATTATAACTAAATGGATTTTGAACGTTTCACTGAGCCAATATATATCATTCACAATTTATTAATGAATTTTACAAAATAACACCATGAATCTTATCTTTAAACATGTAAAAACTATTTGTAATACATTAGGAACAAAATAGTTGTAGAAAAACAAATTATTATAAAACCTTTGAGTTTGGATTTTTTGATTAAAAGTTTCTCAAAGGCTCTCCTGCACCATTCTCAATGCAAATCATTCCCACACCTATGGGAAGAGATAGACGAACGTTTCCTAGATGATTTGTGTTTGCTGGGTCTCTCTCTATCTCTCTCTATCTCTCTCTATCTCTCTCTCTCTCTCTCTCTCTCTCTCTCTCTCTCTCTCTCTCTCTCTCTCTCTCTCTCTCTCTCTCTCTCTCTCTCTCTCTCTCTCTCTCTCTCTCTCTCTCTCTCTCTCTCTCTCTCTCTCTCTCTCTCTCTCTCTCTCTCTCTCTCTCTCTCTCTCTCTTAGGGAAAAACATGACAGGCAGACAAACTCAGGGAGACAAAGGCAGGGTGACATATATGGCAGGAACAAACCCAGAGGAAGGGGAGGGACAGGATTCCTTGATTAGGGAGACATTTGCACAAATGTGGAGTGAATTCAGTGAA